CGGTGGTGCCAGAGGACCGACGGGTGGGTGAGTGACCGATAGTCGCACGGCACAGCAGCTACCTGGCCTGACCTGACCCAGCCTGGTGGGAACCAGTGTGTAGTGAGTACAGACAAGAGCCTGGCTCCCTGTGGAAAGTGGCTAGAGGCGCCCCAGTGGCACCGACTGTGCAGGAAGCAACAGGCTCGTGCAGTGGGAAAGTGGTGACAACTCCGAGGTCGTGAAGGTGACTGACACCCACCAGGTCTCTAGAGAATGAGGGGGTGTAGTAACCTGTGAGAAACCCAGAGGGAGCCACTGGACACGGGAGAATGGTGGTGCTCTCGGCAACTAGAGATCCTACGGATGGGTGAGCCAAGGCGACAGTGACTGGAGTGTGTAGTGGCGTGAGGTCGGTGCAGTCGCGAAAGAAACAGCTAGACGCTCCAGAGTCTAGGGTGAAGGAAAAACGTGCAGTCGGTGAGGTCGCACCCGAGCCAGCGACAAAGGCTGGTATTAGTCTAATGGTGGCTGCTGCTCCCACACTAAGAACCTTTGAGGCGCCTGGACCGGAAACTACACACGCACCAAGACTGGAAACACAAGGCTCAATAGTAGTTGCAGCTCCCACGTACCGGTCCGTGTACTGGCCGGGTCCGTCAGGGCCCCACTGTGGAGGTTGCTGCAGGCGCTGCAGATCAACCCGCCACTGCTGCAGCCGCGGCCATCTGTGCTGCTGCCACTGCCACTGCTGCTGCTGAGACCACTGCTGTTGCTGCGGCTGTCGCAACAACGACATGGCAAGCTAGTACGGGGGGGGTACGCTAGCGGTAGCCTAAGCTGCTGCTGGTGCGCTGGGGGGCAGCCTATACTGCTGATGGTGCAACTGATGGGCCCGCTATCGAAAGGGCCGCGAGGCCCGCTAGTGAAAAGGGGCCGCGGGGCCTGTTTCTACGGTCGACGGGAGACGGGCGACGGGCGACGGGCTATGGGAGGGGAAAAAATGACGGGCGATGGGCGACGGGAGGGGAGAAATCGACGAGCGACGGGAGGGGAAAAAATCGACGGGCGACGAGAGATCTACGGGCGACGGGGTGGGTACTGACGACGGGCGCGCTCTGGGCGACGGGCGACAGTCTACGAGGCGCGCATTATGACGAGGCACGCGTTAGTACGAGGCGCGCGCTAGCGAATTTGGTGGGCCCTTAATCTATCGAGTGAAAACGCTAGGGGAAACCCTAGCTATGGAAACCTAGATCTATACCATGTTTGAATATGAGAATGAATGACTAGAAGTGGAAAGTACAACAAGTATATAGCAAACCTAACCCTAACCCCAACAACTAGAAAGTACACCTAGACTAACGATATAAGCTATAACAAATATAGCTTGACACGTGAAGCGGAAGCGCTGAAGGACCTGCTGCACCATGTGTAACTGAGTCAGGGTAATGGTGCGCCATGCGCTGTCCCGGGTGATCTGCGAGCCAAGAGAGCTGTGCAGCTCTTTCAGGTCTGTGCACGTGTGCCTCTTCTGTAGCTCCGACTTTACGTGGGCGAGTCCCTCAGTGTCAACAGTGGCAAAGACCAAGTCTTCGACGTACACGAGGATGTAGAACGGCAGCAGCGAAGTTTCGGTGCGTAGAAACAGCGACGGGTCAGCAGTCGAAGGAGCAAACCCAAGAGCCGCAAGCGTCGTCCTCAGTGTGTCGTGCCACTCGCGAGGCGCCTGGCGGAGACCATAGACTGGCCGCCGGAGGCTCTACTGGGTACTTGCAGGAAAGAACTTAGTGAAGCCAGGTGGGCGGCGCAGCCAGATCTCCTCGTGCAGGCGGCCTTGTAAGAAAGCTGTGCTGAAGTCAAGAGAGTGAAGCTCGTAGTCACGCTGAGCGGCGACGTGCAGCAAAACCCGAAGAGTGGTCATCTTCGCGGTAGGGGAGAAGGTCTGGAAGAAGTCAACTTCTTGTCGCTGACATAAGCCTCTAGCAACGTAACGCGCCTTGAAGACAGGCGGAGAACCCGGTGGGCGCTTCACCCTGAAAATCAACATGCCACTGACGATGTTCGCCCCAGGTGGGAGAACGTCGTCGGCGTAAGTGCCTGTGGACTTCCAGGATGCCATCTCGGCATCCATGGCTGACTGCCACTGAGAGGAGTAGGGACCCTCAATCGCCTCTGCGTAAGAGCGCGGGGTCGGGATGTCTGGTGCATCCGGGTCTCCCTCAGGTGCAATCAGCATGGACACGAGATGAGGTACAGCAGCTGCAAAACACTCAAAGTCCTCCTGCCTGTCCTCAAGGACGTCCGTGCCATGAGCACACTCACCCCCGACGGACGGAGGACAGACAGACTCAGACTCAGCAACAAGAATAGCGGCGTAGTCGAGGCAACAGGCGGCAGCAAAGTTAACAAGCTCAGCAACAAAGGCAGACACAGCAGTGGACTCAAACGAAGGGTCAGTGACAACAGTGGCAAGCAAGCACGTGATAGTAGGGCTGGCAATACGAAGTAAGTCAGACTCCGGGTCCGGACCATCAGCAAGGGAGGACGCAAGAGGAGACGGCAGAGGGACACATAGTGGAACAGAGGAAGGACGAAGTGCCATCTGGTGCGTGCCGGGGATAAGAGGAGGACGCTCATGCGGAACACGACGACCAGTGCGGACAGCGAGAACAGGCGTCGCAGGACGAGACGCAGGCTCACGACGCTCTGTAAGACCTCCGGGCTACTCAGTGTAAGGAGAAGGAGCCGGCAGTGGGGAGGCTGGCTGTAACTGCGGGGACCGGTCAGGCGGTGGACACAGTAAGGGAGGAGTAAGGCCAGTAGAAGGCGGGAGACCAAGAACCTGCTGAAGCAATGGAACGAAATACGGTCGCGGCCGCACAGCGCCTCTAGAACCAGCACCGACAGCACCAGCACCCCCAGGGCCAGCACCTCCAGCAGTTCCATCTCCTGCAGCACCTCCAGCTCCATCAGCTCCGGCTCCAACGCCTGTAGCACCTCCAGCTCCAGGGCCTCCAGCGGCAGGCCCCCCAGCTCCAGCAGCGCCACTCCGGAGGCTCCAGCGCCGGGCAAACCACTCGCGCAGCTGCGTTGGAGCGAGAGGCTCCCGTCGTGACGAGACACCCGTAGGACCTCCAGCAGACAAAGTACCTCCAGGCTCAGCACGCTCTGGCTCAGCACCCCCAGGCTCAGCTCCCCCAGGCTCCGCACCCCTAGGCTCAGCACCCCCAGGCTCAGCACCCCCAGGCTAAGCACCACCAGGCTCAGCACCCCCAGGCTCCGCACCCTCAGACTCGGGAACCTCAGGCCCCGCACCCGCAGGCTCAGCATCCCCAGACTCAGCACCCCTAGCAGCACCAAAGTCGACAGCTACCTCGACAGGCTCGACAGGGTCTAACTGGGACACACCTGAGGGAGCAGGACCCTGAGGGGGGAGGGGGTCTACCGGAGGAGGACCTGGTGTGAGGAAGAGCAGCGTGGGGGGGAGTGGGGCAGTGCGGTAGGGGAAAAGAGACGGTAAAAGGGAACCGACTCGTCAAACGTGACGTCCTGAGAGGGCAGGACACGGCGCAAGGTGGGGTGGTAAAACTGCCAACCAGGCGCGTCAGGGGGGAAGCCAAGGAAGATGCAGGGAATGGCGCAGGAGGAGAGCTTGTCTGAGGTGGTATCGCGGACAAAGGCACGAGATCCCCAGACCCGGAACACCGACGCATTGCCAACCTCTCCCGTCCAACGCAGTGTCGGCGAGGTCTCCAGCAAGGAGACATGACCAGAGGTTGAGCTGATGTGCAGCGTATCGGACCGGGTCCTTAATCAGCTCTGATACCACTTGTTAGAGACTAAGGACGGAGTCTATGAAGATTAGGAGCCGAAATATCTCAAAATCGTTGGTCTCAATATTTGGACAGAATAGTCGCGCTCATAAGAAACGTTGTCGACGAAAAACGCACTGTTCAAACTCCACCAATTTCGGATATGTTGTAGCCCTAGACCGTAGCTACAACTCCCAAGTTGAATCGTACCGAAAGGTGAAGTATATTTTGAGTTGTGTATTTTGGCGCACTAGGGGGTAAGCTGCCATAGCATCTTAACTCAATCACAAGAGTTCTCACAATTGCCACACAAGGAAGTTAGAATAGCAATGAACCAGGTGGGATGGGATGAGGAGGATGAAAGGTAAGGTCCCAAGATAGTCCCCAACCAAGGAAACCCCATGCCACACAATTCCCCTCTCCATAGGCAACCCCACTTTCACTTTTGTCACTTTCCCAACCTCCACAATCCACCTCACCCAAGTTGGCCACACTTGCCAACCCAATTTGGTTTCTCCCAACCACTTGGCAGCATCTACAGTGATGTTGACGAATTTCCCAACCCCCAAAAGTCTGTACCCCTTATGGAATCAACCTCACAACTTCCCATAGTCACCACAACCAAATATCAAAAGCATACGAACTTCCAACGTTCGTAACTTTCTTGTTCGTGGTTCGTCGGAAAGCTCTTAAGCAGAGGAGTCACTTCAGATATCTGCTCAAGCCAAATAACATTCACACACACTCAGAAAAACCAAACCACATCAAACACAAATTCTTGCACACGCTCACACCACGCATGCAACGCACGAACATATGATGGGAGGCAGACAGACGTGAATGCAGATGATAGCATCACATAACAAACTCCCCCTCTGGCTGCCTACCATCATCCCACATGCCATAGCTCAAGCATGCACACTCAATGCACACTCATCCCAGCAAGCTTCATGCCCTTCCAATGCTCAGATTCAGCCAGGCGCTTGGTGAGAATGTCAGCCGCCTGCTGATGGGTCTTCAGAATCTCCAGTCGAACCTCCTTGTCCAGGAGCCTCCTCACCCAGTGCCACTTGGGCCTGATGTGCTTTGTCAGCCCATGAAGGCAGGCGTTCTTGGCAAGCTTCACTGCCGACTGATTGTCGGCTCCCTCTGACCAACTCCAATCTCCTCCAACAAACGCCTGAGCCACACCACCTCATTTGCCCCATGATGTATGGCCATGTACTCTGTCTCACATGAGGACTGCCCCACCTCATTCTGCTTCTTACTGCGCCAGCTCACTGCACCACCTCCAAACAGGCACACATAGCCTCTAATGCTGGTGCCATCCGCTTTCACCAAGTTGAAGCTAGCGTCGGTGTAGCACGTCAAGAGCATCTCCCCCTTGCTCAAATCAGCTGCACCTCTCTGCAGCCTCTGTCTCACAGCACCATACTCCAAACCCACTGATGCCGTTGCACTCACATAGCGGGCCAACCTCTTGGCCGCTTCCAGCTGCTCATGACTGGGGCGTGAAACCACACTGGCAAGCCTGGATGTCAGTAGAATGAACGAGAATGGGTGAACTAGCAGCATGCAGGAGTACAAGTAGCAAACCCTAATTGGGTTGTACCCCATATGGGCTACCCCACTACAACCTACACAACATGCAGCATATAAGTTTGACAGTTGTGGCTGCTGCGGCTGTGGCAGCTTTAGCGGTAGTTGCGGCTGAGGTAGGGCAGCGCGCAGGCAGCAGGCGCGTGGGCAGCAGGGGCGCACGGGTACCAGGGAAGCGCAGGCAGCAGGCGCGCGCGGGCAACAGGCGCGCGCGAGTAGCAGTGTCGCACGGGGAAGGGCTGCATGCAGGCAGCAGGGGCGCGCAGGCAGCAGATGCGCGTGGGTAACAGGGGCGCGCGGGCAGCAGGATGCACGTGCAGCAGGGATGCTCAGGCAGAAGGCGCGCGCCGTCAGCAGAGGCGCGCAGGCTGCAGGGGCGCGCGGGCATCAGGAGCGCGCGGACAGCAGGAGCGCGCGGGCAGCAGGGGCGCGCGGGCAGCAGGGGCGCACGGGCAGCAGAGGCGCGCGGGCAGCAGGGGCGCTCGGGCAGTAGGCGCCCATTATAGTATCTGTCAGAATGTGTAGTTTGTCTAGCCTGCAGTGGGGTACTCTATAGTGAGTACGGCCCCTTAGGTTTTCCTATATGTATCCACCTGCTTGCTAGTGAAACCTCTCCTCCCCTTTTGCTCATTCTCTCTTGCCTAACTAGCCCAAACCCTAGTTATGGCTCCTGCATTCTAGCACCTATTTTGACATGGTATCAGAGCGGTTACGCTCCTGGCCTGTGGGCCCTCCTGCTTCCGCTGCCATACTGTCTGTCGCGCGCCCCGTGGCGTGCAATGTTCAATTTTTCTTCCTGCCATGCGCTCGGGGCGCGTGGCGGTTTCCTGCCCGCCGCGCGCCCCAGGAACGCGCGGCGGTTTCGTCGCCCGTCGTGGCGTCCCGGGGGCCCGCGCGTCCCCCCCTCCCGTCGCCTGTCGTGGCGTCCCGGGGGCCCGCGCGTCGCCCCTCCTCCCGTCGCCCGTCGTCGCGTCCCGGGGGCCCGCGCGTCGCCCCTCCTCTCGTCGCCCGTCGTGGCGCCCCGGGGGGGCGCGCGTCCCCCCCCTCCCGTCGCCCGTCGTCGCATCCCGAGGGCCCGCGCATCGCCCCTCTTCCCGTCGCCCGTCGAAGCGCCCCGGGGGCCTGCGCGCCGCCCTTCCCGTCGCCCGCCGCGGCGCCCTAGGGGCCCGCGCGTCGCCCCTCCCTCTCATCGCCCGTCGAAGAGCCCCAGGGACTGCGCGCCGCCCTTCCCGTCGCCCGTCGCAGCGCCCCGGGGACCCGTGCGCCACCTGCGTTTAGGGTATGGGGTGGCGGGCGTGGGGGTGGCAGGTGTGTGCGCCGTCCCCTGCTCCTCCTCCTCCTCCATCTCCCACTGCTGCAGCTGCCGCTGAGGGGGGTGGGTGTGTGGGAGCCGAAGGAGTGGTGCTAGGGGGGTGTCGTGGGAGTGAAGCTAGGGGTGCAGCAAGGGGTGTGTGAACGGGAGTTTTGGGACAAAGGGGGAGGTTGAAGGGGGGTGGCCGCCGTGAAGCCAGCAGCTCCAGTCGCCCGTGAGACCGTTGCGCCAGTCGTCCGTGAGCCCGTCGCTCCAGTCGCCCGTGAGCCCGTTGCTCCAGTCGCCCGAGAGTCAGTTGCTCCTGCCGCTCGTCTAGCCGCGGAGCCAGTTACTCCAGTTGCCCGTGTGCCAGTTGCTCCAGTTGCCAGTGTGCCAGTTGCTCCAGTTGCACGTGTGCCAGTTGCTCCAGTTGCGCTGTGTGCCAGCAGCTTCAGCTGCCGCCCACTACCTCCTCTCCTCTCATAGTCCCTCCTCCTCCTCACTAGCCCTCTGTGATAGCCTCTAGCTTTGCTTATATTTGTAAACAATGAACTGCTGCTTGTTGTGCTGATCATACCCCACTTTGACTATGGGGGTGTGTCAGAATGTGTAGTTTGTCTAGCCTGCAGTGGGGTACTCTATAGTGAGCACGGCCCCTTAGGGTTTCCTATATGTATCCACCTGCTTGCTAGTGAAACCTCTCCTCCCCTTTTGCTCATTCTCTCTTGCCTAACCAGCCCAAACCCTAGTTATGGCTCCTGCATTCTAGCACCTATTTTGACAGTATCAGCCCGGTGGCAGCTGGCCAGAGCACTGGCGACTTTTATGCATGGGGTTGGAGAGTAAGGCTTGACGACGATGAAGCTTTGACGATCGAGAAGGTCCAACTGATGGGTGGTTGCCTAGCATGCATAGCAATGGCGAGTCGCTGCTATTATCGCTCTGTTGTTTAATGTGAAGTGTAACTGCGATAGTCACCAATGTGGGTACTGGTCGAGCCCTAGGCTGCTGTCAAAAGCTGCCTAAATGACCAATCAACAACTAGATTTAGTCATCGCTGGTGCCAACGAGGGGATATTTGGGAATATCGCATAGTCGAAATCAAAGTAGGTTCTGTTAGAATAGAAACGAGAATGAGTGGACTAAGGGAAAGTTGGGTACAAAATGTAAACCCTAGAAAACTGTACCCCATATGTGCTACCCCACTATAGCCTACAGTAGCTATGTCATATAAATCTGACACACCCCCATAGGCAAAGTGGGGGAGAACAAGGGGTCACAAGACCAGTCAAGCATAGCAAAGCAAGCTCAGGGTGGATCACAAAGTCACCACACATTCCGAGCACAAGTTCAAGGCCACAAGGCCAGTTCACATGCAGGATTACATATATATATAAGGCTAGACAAGCAAGAGCAGGTGTATATATATATGCAACAGTACAAACAAGGTCAAGGGGTGAGCAAGTGAGTCAAGGTAGGCACAAGACCCAGCTGAGTACAGAAGCGCTGATGATCACAAGGCGCAAGTGCCTTGGTGAAGATATCAGCAGTGTTGGCCTGAGAGGCCACGTGCGCAAGCCGCAGCTGACCACGCTGCTGTAGCTCACGAGCAAGGAAGTAGCGGAGAGCAATGTGCTTCGTTCTGTGCTCCAGTCTCTGCTCTCGACACAAGGCCAGCATGGCCTTGTTGTCTACGTACAGCACTGGAGGAGAACGAGGCGGCTCTCCGAGGTCAGTCAGCAGGTAGGTGAGCCAGCGAAGCTCCTGTACAGCCATGGCCCCGGCGTAGATCTCAGCCTCACAACTGGAGCCGAGAACAGAAGACGAGCGGGTAGCCCGCCACGAAACAGAGCCGGAACCAAGGCTGAAGGTGTAACCCTGTGACGACCGCTGCGTAGCCTGGTCGTCAGCCCAAGAAGCGTCTGCGTGCCCAGTGAGGACCACTGGACTCTGCCCTCCAAGCACAAGCCCCATGCCCGACGTACTGCTCAAGTAACGCAACACCCTCTTCGCTGCAGCCATGTGCTCCGGTCTGTGTCTCCCAGGAGCAACATAGCGTGCGAGAATGCTAAGAGGGTATGCGAGGTCAGGTCGTGTGCAGGTCATCAGGTACATGAGGCAGCCAACAAGCTCTGGGTACGGGCCACTCGACTCTACGGACTCATCCGAAGGCAGAGCTGAGAGCGAGTGGCGAGTAGGCAGAGGAGTGGCCTGAGGCGAGGAGTACGTGAAGCCGAAGCGCTGAAGGACCTGCTGCACCATGTGTGACTGAGTCAGGGTAATGGTGCGGCGTGCTCTGTCCCGGGTGATCTGCAAGCCAAGGTAGCTGCGCAGTTCACCCAGGTCTGTGCACGTGTGTCTCTTCTGAAGCTCGGACTTCACGTGGGCGAGTCCAGCAGTGTCAGCTGTGGCAAAGACCAAGTCGTAGACGTACACGAGGATGTAGAACAGCGGCAAAGAAGTGTCGGTGCGCAGAAACAACGACGGGTCGGCAGTAGAGGGAGCAAACCCAAGAGCCGCAAGTGTAGTCCTCAGTGTGTCGTGCCACTCACGCGGTGCCTGGCGGAGACCGTAGACTGGCCGCCGGAGGCTCCACTGGGTGCCAGGAGGAAAAGACCCAGTGAAGCCAGGTGGGCGACGCAGCCAGATCTCCTCGTGCAGGCTGCCCTGCAAGAAAGCAGTGCTGAAGTCAAGAGAGTGCAGCTCGTAGTCGCGGTGAGCAGCTATGTGCAGCAGTACCCGAAGAGTGGTCATCTTCGGGGTGGGAGAGAAGGTCTGAAAGTAGTCAACTCCCTGCCGCTGACTGAAGCCACGAGCCACGTAACGTGCCTTGAAGACAGGCGAAGAACCCGGCGGTCGCTTCACCCTGAAAATCCACATGCCACTGACGATGTTCGCCCCAGGCGGGGGAACCTCGTCAACGTAGGTGCCTGTGGACTTCCAGGAAGCCATCTCTGTGTCCATAGCTGCCTGCCACTGAGAGGAGTAGGGACCCTCTATCGCCTCCGCGTAAGAGCGCGGAGTCGGGATGTCAAGTGCATCCGGGTCTCCCTCAGGGGTAAGCAGTACGGACACGAGATGAGGTGAAGCAGCAGCCAAACACTGGAACTCCTCCTGCCTGTCCTCAAGGACGTCCGTGCCAAGGGCACACTCACCCCCGACGGACGGAGGACAGACAGACTCAGACGCAACGACAAGACTAGCAGCGTAGTCTAGACGACAGCGAGCAGCAAAGTCGACGAGCTCAGCAACTAGGGCAGACGCAGCAGTGGACTCAAAGGAAGGGTCAGTGACGACAGTAGCAAGGAGACGCGTGACAGTAGGACTGGCAGCACGAAGAGAGTCCGACTCCGGGTCGGGAAGAGCAGGAAGAGAGGACTCAGGAGGAGAAGGCAAAGGGGCACGCAGAGGATCAGTGGACGGACGCAGAGACATCCGGTGCGTGCTAGGGACAGGAGGAGGACGCTGACGCGAACCACGGCCACTAGTGCGAGCAAGACGGACAGGCGACGCAGGGCGAGACGCAGGCTCACGACGCTCAGCCAGACCTCCAGTAGGACCAGTGTAGGGAGAAGGAGCGGGCAGTGTGAAGGCCGGCTGTAACTGTAACTGGGACGGGACAGGCTGTGGACACTCTAAGGGAGGAGGAGGACCAGTAGAAGGCGGGAGACCAAGAACCTGCTGAAGGAGCGGAACGAAGTACGGCCGAGGCCGCGCGGCGACTCCAGACACAGCAGGGACAGCACCAGTACCCCCAGCGGCAGCACCAGCGCCAGCAGCACCTCCAGCTCCAGTACCTCCAGCAGCACCAGTAGCACCCCCAGTAGGACCGCCTCCAGGACCGACAGCAGTAGCCTCAGCGCCAACACCCTCAGCAGCTCCAGCTACAGGCGTACCCGCAGGCCCAGCAGCTCCAGTACTCCCAGTACGAGCACCTCCGGGACCCGCGGCACCAGCACCCGCAGCAGTCGAAGAACCTCCAGCTCCAGCAGCACGCCGCCAGCGTCGGGCAAACCACTCTCGCAGCTCCTGTGGAGAGATTGGCTCCCGCCGAGACGAAGCACCCGGAGAACCTCCAGGCTCAGCACCTCCAGACGCCACACGAGCAGGCCCAGCTCCCTCAGGCTCCGCACCCCCAGGCTCAGCACCTCCAGGCGTAGCACCCCCAGGCTCAGCACCCCCAGGCGTAGCACCCCCAGGCT